TGAAGCTGCCACCTCCAATATATGGGGCCGGCGGGCACCCTACTCCTTGAGCCACAGGCACCACCCCATAGTGGACGTTCTCCACATACGAGGCGTGCTAGCTGGCTATCTTCTGGCATAATTGTTACACCTCTGGCATGGATAGCACACAGGTTGGTGTCTTCAAAAAGGCCAACCATGTAGGCCTCACTTACCTCTTGCAAAGCACCAATAGCTGCGCTCTGGAAGCTCAGATCTGTCTTAAAGTCCGGAGCAATTTCTCCCACTAGACGCCGGAAAGGAAGTTTGCTAATCAGAAGTTCAGAGGACTTCTGATAGTGTCTAATTTCAGCGTGCTACTGTACCGGGCTTGTAGCGATGAGATTTCTTCACCCCTCCAGAAGAGGGCTCACTCTCGCAAGCGTCTTTTGTAGCCAGTTGTTTCCTGGGTGCTTTACCACGGGTGGATTTGTGGGCAGTCTGCCTTGTAGGAGCCACGTGTCTAAAGACCACCTTACTCCCCTTCTCCTTGGGCTGCAGCTCCGCGAGCTAGAGACCGCGCGGGCGCGACTGCGGTGCGGCGGCGGCTGAGAACACAATTCGAAAACTTTTTAGTAAGTAAAACCACAACAATGGGCGGGGGAGGAGAGCAAGAGGGAGAGAAAGAAACTTTCTGATAACTAAAACGGCAACGATGGGAGACACCGCTTTAAACTGATATAATTAACATTGAATTTTCAAGAAAAAGCTCGATTGCTGGCTACTTGAATAGCTGGGTTAGATTCAATGACCTCTGAGGTTCTTTTTAACTCTGATGTTGTAGGAAAAAGACGTGGTAATTTCTCTGACCCGTTATTTAAGTTACAGAACTTGAAGACTATTCTTTTTCCCAAGCTTTTAAAATACAAGTTGGTAAAAAAAAAAAAAAAAAAAAAAAAGAATAAGTAGGTAATCATTGTCACCTACACAGGTGATGGCAACATAAAAGATTTTATGTACCTTGAGATTAAGCATTATGGTATTTCAGTAAAAACGATGTATTAATCTACATTACTTAACTAATGTTTCTCAGGCAGATTTCCCTTGCAGAGTACAAGAGCAAATTACCATAATGTAAAAGTTAAGTTCTTTACAGAAAGTGCTTGGTTATGTTGTTTTTAGCAGATACTTTTAGAAATAAAATGATTCCTAATGCTAAGTTATGTCTTTTTTTTTTAAAGACAACTATAATTTATTAATTGGTTGATAATTAGTTGATCCCTGAGTAACTAAATATGCATTCCAATAGTATTTAGGAGAAGCCTCTTTCTTTCTCTCGCTCGCTTTCTTTCTTTCTTTCTTTTTTTAAACAAAAACCGTTTTGTTTTGGTTTTTTAAAGTTTCAGAATATTACGGGGCACACAAGTTTTGGTTACATAATTTGCTTTGTATAGATTCAGTCAAAATTATAAGCATAAACTTCACCCAGAAAGTGTGTATTGTAAACCATTAGATGTAAATTTACCCAACCCCTCGTCCCCAGAGCCTCCCACCTGTTTTATTTTCATTGAGTTTTACTTTCATATGTGCACATAAATGTTATCAGATTAGTTCCAATTTAGTATTGACTGCGTGTGGTGTTTTCGATTCTTGCAATACTTCACTTAGAAGATGGTCTCCATTTCCATTGAGGTTGTTAGAAAAAAATACTAGATCACCATTTTTTGTAATGGCTGATATTCAGCCTTTACAGATAACGTGCAATACATATACCCCAGCCCATACATATACCATATTTATCAATCCATTCATGTATTGCTAGGCACTTGGGTTGTTTCCTAAATTTGCGATTGTAACTGGTGTTGTTATATAACATTTAAGTGCACGAGTATTTTTTAATAAAATGTTTTTTTTCCTCCTTTGGTTAAATACCTGATGGGGGATAGTGGGATTGCTGTATCAAATGGTAGGTCTACTTTTAGTTCTTTGAGCTATCTCCCTGTACTACTTTCTGTTATACTAGTTTGCAGTCCCACAAACTGTGTAAGTGTTCCTTTCTCTCTACATCTGCACCAGCATCTGTTGTTTTGGGACATTTTGATGAGAGCCATTCTCACTAGAAGTAGATGATATCACACTGTCATTTTGATTTGATTCTCTGAGCATTTTTTTTCATGTGTTTGTTGGCCATTAGTATATTTTCATTTGAAAAGTTTCGGTTCGTATATCTTTTGCCCACTTTTTGACGGGGTTGTCTTGCTTTTTTTCTTGCTGATTTGCTTGAGTTCTTTGTAGATTTTTCATAAACTATCAGATGTATAGCACGCAGATATTTTTCTCCTATTCTGTAGTTAGTCTATTTGCTCTCTTGATTGTGTCATTGTGCAGAAGCTTTTAAGTTTCATCAGGCCTCATTTATTTATTTTTATTGTTGCTGTAATTGCTTTGGGGGTCTTTTTTCATAAATTCTTTGTCTAGGCTGATACCTATAAGAATGTTTCCAACATTTTCTTCCACAATTCTTATAGTTTCATGCCTTAAGTTAAAGCCTTTTATCCATTATGAGTTAATTTTTGTGAGTGGTCATAGATGTGGATCCTGTTTTAGTCTTCTACATGTAGCTATCCAATTTTCCCAGCTCCATTTATTGATTAGGGATTGTTTTCCTCAGTGTATGTCTTAGTCTCCTTTGTCAAAGATCAAAAGGCAGTATGAGGATGGTTTCCAATCTGAAAAACCTGTTTTTAAATTATCAATTTCATTTATATTTTAGTAGGCAATGTGGAAAACCCAAAAAGGTAAGTAAAGAAAAGATAAGAAAAATAACCAAGAGGCTGGGCACAGAAGCTCATGCCTGTAATCCTAGCACTCTGGGAGGCTCAGGAGGGTGGATTGCTTGAGCTCAGGAGTTCTAGACCAGTCTGAGCAACAGCAAGACCCCCATCTCTAAAAATAGCCGGGCATTGTGGCAGGTGCCTATAATCCCAGCTATTTGGGAGGCTGAGGCAAGAGAATCGCTTCAGCCCAGGAGTTTGAGGTTTCTGTGAGCTGTGACGCTTTGGCATTCTACCAAGGGTGTCAAAGTGAGACTCTGTCTCAAAAAAAAAAAAAAAAAGAAAAGAAAAAAGTAAAAGAACTAAATATTAATCTAGAATTCAGTAGTACAGTAGGGAAATTATAGTTAACAATAATTTATTTTAGGGTGGTACCTGTAGCCGCCGGCCCCATATACCGAGGGTGGTGGGTTCAAACACAGCCCCGACCAAACTGCAACAAAAAAATAGCTGGGCATTTTGGCGGGTGCCTGTAGTCCCAGCTTCTCGGGAGCCTGAGGCAAGAGAATCGCCTAAGCCCAGGAGTTGGAGGTTGCTGTGAGCTGTGACACTATGGCACTCTACCGAAGGTGATAAAGTGAGACTCTGTCTCTAAAAGAATAAATAAAAATAAAATAATTTATTTTAAAATAGCTACAAAATATTTGTAATGTTCTCAACACAAAGAATAAATGTTTAAAGTGATAGATGTTCTAATATCCCCGATTTGATCATTACACATTATATATAGGTATCAAAATATCATATGTACTCCCTAAATATTTACAACAATTATATAGCAATAAAATAATTTAAAAGAAATGCCAAAGGCCTTACTTACATGGTTAAATAAAACTCTATATATGTAGTTTTGTTCCTGCCTAAGATTTATAAGTGTTTGGTTATGTAACTAAAAAAAATCTTTAATAAGTCATTTTAAATACCTAACTAATGTTGCTCATACCTAATCTAAGGAATATAGCCTTAATTTCAGATTGTTCCCATAGCCCTAGCAGTCGATATTGTTTTGTAGGTAATTTTACCTATATTTAAAAAAAAAACTATTTTATGAAAAGTTATTGCTTACCAGATGAGGAATATTATAGCCAATCTGAATGTCACAACAAAATGTGATAGACAATTCCACTTTTGACTTGAATCTTACATTTTTCAGCCAAATTTCAAAATATAGTACTGTGTAAAATGAATTTTTAGGTTCTTTGCAAAATGGCTAATTTAAAGCAATGCTTATGAAAACTTTGCAAAAATCATGAAAATGGGCTCAGCGCCTGTGGCTCAAGTGGCTAAGGTGCCAGGCACATACACCTAAGGTGGCAGGTTCAAATCCAGCCCGGACCTGCCAAACAACAATGATGGCTGCAACCAAAAAATAGCTGGGCATCGTGGGGGGCACCTGTAGTCTCAGCTACTTGGGAGGCTGAATCAGGAGACTCGCTTGAGCCCAGGAGTTGGAGGTTGCTGTGAGCAGTGATGCCACAGCACTCTACCCAAGGGGATAGCTTGAGGCTCTGTCTCAAAAAAGAAAGAAAATGGTTATATTCTAATTTTAAGTGAAGAAACACTGTATATAAAATAATCTAGTTTGTTTACACTTAGGTTTAACTATGTATAGAACAAAGAGACTTAGAAATAAATATATCCAATGGTAAGAACTATTTTGAGTTCATGAACTGAAGTATTATTTTTGCTTCCAATCTCTAATATTTTCAAATTTTTCATTATTACTACTTATATAACAAGAACAAATAAAGTTAAAATTATCAAATAAATAAATCTCATGATTATATCAGGTCTTAAATTTAGGGATAGTAGGGTAACCAGAATGAATAAGGGGCTTAAGAGAACTGGGTTTAATTCTCAGCTCTGTCCACTTATTTGTAGGGCCTTGGGCACATCATTCATCTCTATTCAGGTTAATACAAAAAATGTAAAGCCTCCATTTTTATGGCTGAATAATATTCCATGGTATACATATACCACTGTTTATTAATTCATTCTTAGGTTGATGGACACTTGGGTTAATTTCACATGTTGGCAATTGTAAATTGAGCTGTGATAAACATTCCAGTGTAAGTGTTCTTATGATAAAATGATTTTTTTTTTCTCCTGGGTAGATACCCAGTAATGGGATTACAGGATCAAATGGAAGGTCTATTTTGATTTCTTTGAGGATTCTCCATATTTCTTCCTTTTTTTTTTTTTAAGGAGCTAGAACCCCTTTTATTTTCTCTGTTTAAAATCAAAAAGAAAACAAACATCAATTCTGTTATACACTAACATCTTCAAAGTACATTGTTTGTACAAGAGAAAGACTAAGAACAAAAATGTGTTTACAGAGATCCAAACATATATGGGGTGAGACCATCTCTCACACAGCTTTCCGATGGTACTCAGGAGGAGCCACTTCGTAATCGCTGGCACTAAACAAGGTGGCAGAATTCTTTGCCAGATACTTTAGGAAATCATGAAGAAAGTTCAGTAATAAAGCAAGGCTCTTCTCATCCAAAGGTGTATAGGCCAACATCGCTCCAATTCGTACAAATAATCTCAGTGGTGCTCTGTATACTTGTGGTGCTCTGTATACTTGGGACATGGGTGCATCAGGGTGATCTGCAAGAATTTCAGCATACTGCGGTCTCTCAAATTTGTACAGGAGCTGAGTGCCCAGCATTACATTGAAGTATTCTTTTATCCCTGCCACGACTTCATTAACAGCATACTCCTTATTATCTGTGTTTCCACGAGATTTCTTATAATTTGCATAATCCTCCAGAATGGAATCCACATTCTTCTTAGCCGGAAGATAAAAGAGCTGTTTTTGCCTGGTAATCAAGTCCCAGTCATCAACAAGCCAAGGTTTTAGCTCTTCAGGAATCTTTACTTTAACTTCAACTCTGTTCATGAATGTTTCTTCATTTTCAACAGTAGGATCTACCCGAGCCCTTTTCTTCCGAGGAGGTTGAGGTGTCTCACTGGTACTGCCACCATCTCCATTTCCAGGTGTTTTCTGCTTGTTCTTCTTTGTTTTCACTTCAACATTTTTCTGTTGCAGACCAGATGTCTTCTTTCCTGGGGTAGCCCCTCTCATCTTGCCCTCTGCATACTGCTCCTGATTGGCTTTTTGAAGTTCTCGCTGTTTCTGCAGATTGGTGTCCACATACTTGAGTACTCTGCTCTCTGGAACCCATTCATCCCAATTTTTATTCCAACCGCTGTAATGTATAAAGTATTTCACTTGTTTGTCTTTAATGGCAACGTTTACACACTTTGCTTCATAAAGAAGAGGCCCATGAAAGCACAGTACTCGCTCACCCTCCTGGAATTTAGGCTTCGGGTCCTTCTTCGGCGCCATTTATAAGTGATTCGCCGCCTCCTCCTTCTCCCACCACCCCCGACTACCGCCCCCTACTCTCTACCCCACCCAACTCCGCGTCCTCCATATTTCTTTCGAAAGAGGCTGTGTTACTTTGCAATCCCACCAACAATATAAAAGTGTTTCCTTCCTCCACAACTGCACCAGCATCTGCATCTTTGGGACTTTGTGATGTGGGCTTTTCTCACTGGGGTTTGGTAACATCTCAAGGTGGTTTTAATTTGCATTTCTCTGATGATTAGGGATGATGAGCATTTTTCATTAATTTTTTGGTTATTCATCTGTGTTCTTTGGAGAAGGCTATTTTTTTTTTTTTTTTTGGCCGGGGCTGGGCCTGAACCCACCACCTCTGGTGGTGTATGGGGCCCTACTCCTTTGAGCCACAGGTGCCACCCATGGAGAAGGTTATGTTTATGTCTCTTGCCCAGTGATAGATTGGATTGTATGCTTTATTCCTGTTGATTAATTTTAGGTTTCTATAGATTCTGGTTATCAACCCTTTGCAGATTTATAACATGCATATATCTTTTCCCATTCTGAAGGGTGTCTGTTTGCTTTAATTGTTGTGTCCTTTGTTGTCCAGAAGTTCTTTCTCTTAATTAAGTTCCATTTACTTGTTTTTGTTGTTGTTGCCATTGCTGATGCAGTGTTCTTCATAAAATCTTTCCCCAGACTGCTATCATTTAGAGTTTTTGCCATGCTTTCTTCTAGGATTTGTGTTGTTTCATGTCTTAGATTTAAATCTTTTACCATTGTGAGTCAATTTTTGCGAGTGGTGAGAGGCATGGGCCCAAGTTTAGACTTTTACATGTAGTATCCAGTTCCCCAGTACCACTTATTGAACTGGGGTTCTTTTTCTCAATGTATGCTTATGTTTGGTTTATTGACGATCAGATGATGCTAAGAGGCATGTTTCATCTCTAGGTTTTCAATTCTATTTCATATGTCTACATCTCTCTTTTCATGCCAATATCATGCCATTTTGATCACTGTGGACTTGTAATGTGGCCTAAAGTCTGATAGAGTGATGCCTCCAGATACGTTTTTGTTACTGAGAATTGCCTTGGCTATATGTGGCTTTTTCTGGCTCCATAGAAAAAGAAAAAAACTATTTTTTCAAGTTCTTCAAAGTATTGCAATTAAATCTGTAGATTGTTTTGTGTAGTATAGATATTTTAGCAGTGTTGATTCTTCCTATCCAAGAGCATGATAAACTCTTCTATTTGTTAATGTCCTCTGCTATTTCTTTTCTCAGGGTTTCATAATTCTCTCTGCAGAGGTCCTTAACCTCCTTCATTAGATATACTCTGAGGTATTTTATTTTCTTCGGAGCTACTGTGAAGGATATTGTGTCCTTGATTTACTTCTCAGCTTAATTATTATTGGCATATATAAAGGCTGCTGATTTGTGGACATTGATTTCATTCCCTGAGAGATTACTGTATTTCTCGATCACTTGCAGAAGTCTTGTGGTTGAATCTCTGGGGTTTTCTCAATATAAGATCATATGCATCAGCAAAGAACAAGAGTTTGACCTCCTCTACCCCCATTTGAATGCCCTTAATATCCTTCTCTTGACTGATTGCATTGGCTAGAACTTCCAGCACTATGGTGAATACTAGTGGTAATAGTAGACATCCTTGTCTAGTTCCAGTTCTAAGTTCAAATCCTTTCAGTTTTACTCCACTCAGTATGATATTGGCTGTGGGTTTGTCATAGATAACATCTATCAGTTTAAGAAATATCCCATGTATGCCTAATTTCTTGAGTGTTCTTATCAGAAAAGGATGCTAAATTTTGTTAAATGCTTTTTGTACATCTATTGAAAGGATCATATGGTTTCATTTTTCCTTATATTGTTGTAGTGAATTACCTTTATTGATTTGTGTGTATTAAACCATCTTTGCCTTGCTGGGATATAGCCCCCTTGATTGTGATATGTAATTTTTTTTTGTAGTTTTTGGCAGGGGCTGAGTTTGAACCCACCACCTCCAGCATATGGTGCCAGCACCCTACTCCTTTGAGCCACAGGCGCCGCCCTGTGATGTATAATTTTTTAAGTATGGGGCTTTATTTTGTTCGCTAGTGTTTTGTTGAGTATTTTTGCATCAGTATTCATTAGTGACATTGCTCTGTAGTTTTCTTTTTTTGTTGGGTTGGTTCTTTCCTGGTTTTGGTATTAGGGGGATGTTTACTTCTTAGAATGTGTAAGGGAGGATTCCTTTCTTCTCAGTGTTTTGGAATAATTTCTGAAGTATAGGTACAATCCCTTCTTTGAATGTTTGATAGAATTCTGGTATGAAGCTGTCTGGAGCAGGACTTTATTTTATTGAGAGCTTTCGTATTGTTTCTTCAGTTTTGGTGCTTGATACTGTTCTGTTCAAGAGATCTATTTCTTCCTGGTTAAGTCTGGGAAGGTTGTGTGATTCCAGATATTGGTCCATTTCCTGCACATTAGCTTTGCGCAGTGGCAGTATCATAACCAATGAGGTTTATCCGAGGTGTGATTATTGCTAATTGAAAACTTTTCCCATTTTCCTGCACCTTGTCAAATTTCTGGGCATAGAGGTTTTTTTAATAAAATATGATCTCTTATATCTTTGTGATATCTGTTATTATTTCTCCCTTTTTTGTTTGTGATTGAGGATATTAGAGATCTTACTTTTCTGTTTCTAGTTAATTTGGCCAAAGGTTAACCAATTTTGTTTATCTTTATGAATAACCAACTTTTCATTTTGTTAATTTTCTGAATGATTCTTTTGTTTTAATTTTTTTCATTTCTGATTTAATTTCAGTTATTGCTTTTCTTCTGATAAGTTTGGGATTGTATTGCTCTTCCTTTTCCATTTTCTTGAGATGATTCATTATGTTGTTTACCTGTGCTTTTTCTGTTTTGGGGGGGTTTTTTTGAGACAGAATCTCACTTTATTGCCCTTGGTAGAGTGCTGTGGAGTCACAGCTCACAGCAACCCCCATCTCCTGGGCTTAAGCAATTCTCCTGCCTCAGCCTCCCAATTAGCTGGGACTACAGGCGCCCGCCACAATGCCCGGCTATTTTTCTGTTTTTTGGATATGGGCATCCAATGTTATAAATTTCTCTCTTAGGACTACTTTTGCAGTATCCCACAGATTTTGGTAGCTAGTGACTTCATTGTTCTTATTTTTGAGGAATGGAAAGATTTCCTTCTTTACTTTCTCCTTGACCCAGCTGTTGTTCAGCAAAAGTTTGTTTAATTTCCGTGACTTTGTATGAAGATGAAGGTTTTTGTTGGGGTTGAGTTCTACCTTTATTCCCTTGTGGTCTGAAAAGGTACAAGGTATAATTTCAATTCTAATTTTGTTGAAGTTTGATTTGTGTCCTAAGATATGATCAATTTTGTAGTGTGATCCATGAGCTGACAAGAAGAATGTATACTCAGTTTGTCATGGTGGCTCGCACTCTGGGAGGCTGAGGTGGGCCTATTGCTTGAGCTCAGGAGTTCAAGACCAGCCTGAGCAAGAGCAAGATCTTGTCTCTACTAAAAATTGAAAAATTAGCCAGCCATTTTGGGGCACCTGTAGTCCCAGCTACTGGAGAGATTGAGATAAGAGGACCACTTGAGCCCAGGAGTTTGAGGTTTCTGTGAGCTATGACAGCACAGCACTCAACCCCAGGGTGACAGAGTGATATTCTGTCTGAAAAGAAAAGAATGTATACTCATTATCTTTGGGGTGGTATATTCTGTATATGTCTATTAAACTTAGTTGTTCTGGGGTTGCATTTAAGTCCTTTGTTTTTGTGTTCAGTTTCTATTTAGACTGAGGATCTGCCACTTTTATCAGAGTGGGGTTGAAGTTCCTAGCTATTATGGTGTTGTAGGATATCATATTGTGTATATCAGTTAGGGTTTGTTTTGTAAATCTGGGAGCATTTAAGTTGGGTGCATAAGTATTTAGAATTGAAATGTCCTTAGGCCAGGTGTGGTAGCTCATATCTGTAATCCCAGCACTCTGGGAGGTCAAGGCAGTGTATTGCCTGCACTCAGGAGTTTGAGACCAGACTGAGTGAAAAATGAGACCCCTATCTCTACTAAAAATAGAAAATATCTAGGTGTCATGGCAGGTGCCTATAGTACCAGCTACTTGGGAAGCTGAGGCAGGAGGATTACTTGAGCCTAAGAACTTGAGGTAGCTTTGAGCTATGGCACCATGCCACTCTACCAGGGTGCAGATTGAAACTCTGTATCAAAAATAAATAAATAGAACTGAAATGTCTTATTGTTGCAATGTTCTTTTGAACAGCACACAGTGACCATATTTGACTTTCTTTACTTTCGTTGTTTTACTAGTCTTGTTCAGTGAATTTCCTCCATGTGTGCATGTCAGTAAAAGGTTCTATTTCTCTGTCAAACATAAAACTTAGTTTATGTTTTATGACACAGAATCTTGAGCTGAATTTGTTTTGTTTTGTTTTGTTTAAGAAGGTTAAACGTACATGTCTGCCCTTTTCTGGCTTAAAAACTTTCAGTTCGGCTCGGCGCCTGTGGCTCAAGTGGCTAAGGCACCAGCCACATACACCTAAGGTGGCGGGTTCAAATCCAGCCCAGGCCCACCAAACAACAATGACGGCTGCAACCAAAAAATAGCCGGGCGTTGTGGCGGGCGCCTGTGGTCCCAGCTACTTGGGAGGCGGAGGCAGAAGACTCGCTTGAGCCCAGGAGTTAGAGGTTGATGTGAGCTGTGATGCCACACACTCTACCCAGGGGGACAGCTTGAGGCTCTGTCTCAAAAAAAAAGGAAAACTTCAGTTGAAAATTCCACTTTGCCCAGATGGATCTGCCTCTATATATCAATTGGTGCTTACCCCTGGCTGCTTACAGAATTTTCTCTTTTATTTTGACCTTGGCCAGGTTTGTTACAATGTGTGTAGGAGATGCTCTGGTTGTATTGAGACGAACAGGGGTTTGATATCCATCTAAAAGGAGTGTCTGAATCTTTGGTGATGCTTGGGAAATTTTCAGTTATGATATTCTCCGGTAGGGTTTCCACACCTTTGGTTTACTCTCCTTCTCTTTA